CCCACACACACACACACAAAAAAAAAAGGGAAAAAGAAAATATATACATACATATCTATATATTTTATTTGTACTTATTGCTTACATGCATGTACACAGGTACAACTCAAACATTTGGCCTTATTATTTTTCATATGTCGCTCTTTATGTATACGTATAGGTGTTTGCCCACATACATGTGGATGTAGATATATATGTATATATTACTTGTGTGTGCGTGAATAATACGGACCCATTACTTTGTAACGGCGGCCGCATTTTTTTTTTTTTTGTTTTTGTTTTTGTTTTTGTTTTGTTTTTGTTGTTGTTTATTTAACTTCTCATATGTCTTTTTGTTTATTTTAGAGAGCCTGCCCTGTGTATGTGTTTGCGATTCACGTCCCAAAGATGCCCAATAAATAATGCAGGGAAGATGAATATATATATATATATATATATAGAGAGAGAGAGAGAGTGTGTGTGTGTGTGTGTGAAAGAGGGAAAGAAGTACTCGCGTTGCTGCAGAATTACGGTTTTTTGCCGGATTGCCTCTTTGTTGTTGTTGTTTTTTATTCCCACCACGCGGCGGGGTCTTGTGGCTGGAAGACCCCCAAATTCTGCCACTTCATACGTAATAAAATAAATATGTTTCAGATCTCACATGAGTACAAAAGGTCAAGTGAGCGGTCAAAAGGATGTATATATACATATATAACCATAAGGGAAACATTTGGGCATTTAACTGCCTTTACATTTCCCTTTTCCTTCAATATCTTGTTTGTTTGTTTTTGGTTTCTATAGGAAATTTTAGGATCCGGCCAGCGGCATAGGAGATTATTCTCTTTTTTATTAATTGCTTAATGCGTTGGTCTCTGTGTGTGTGTGTGTGTCTGTGTGTCTGTGTGTGTGTGTGTGTGTGTTGGTTCCCTTGTGCGAGCTCACGGGGCCTAATTATGGTTGTTGCGCATATGCATATATGTATATATATACATATATATATATATATATATACATGTGTGTGTGTGTGTATATGTACGTTTGTTGGTTTGCCGCTGTACTCCCGCCTGCGTGTGTCTGTCTGTGTGTGTGTGTGATGGGCTGCTTCTCTTTCTTTTGTTGCGTCCCTTTATTATTATTTTTATTTTTCTTCTCTCCCACTTCTCTCCCCGTGTGGTGCACGCACAGTAAAGATAGAGGGAGAAATAGAGCGAGTGTTTGTATCAGTGTCTCCGTTGCGGCTGGTACTGGTAGAAGGAGAAGAATAGAAGAAGGAGAAAAAAAAAAAAAAAAAGAGAGAGAGAGAGAAGGGCGAACGAGAAAAAAGAAGAAGAAACATTTGAGAAGGAATTGGAACGAAAATTGTAAGAGGAAGCAAAAAAAAAAAAAAAGTGTGTGTGTGTGTGAGGGAGAGAGAGAGAGAGGAAGCCAATAATAATAAAAAGCAAACAAAAAAGCAAAAACAAAAATATTTGTAGACCGGACGTCCCGTCTTGGACGTGATGTTTTCAAAAAGGACGTCGCCAGCACCCTTCCGTGCGCTCCTGCTGCCGGTCGTGGTGGTGGTGGTGGTGGTGGTGGCATCTGTGGCCCTCCCTGCAGGAGCGCAGTTTGATTTAAGGCAGCAGCAGCTGGTTATACAGGATTTCTTCATCAGTCGCTCCTGCGCAGGATGTTCACAGGGGCAAACCGATGGCCCAAGCGGTGCCGGCACACTCTTCACTGCCGCCGGTGGTTCGCTTGGCAAAGATGCTTCCACGCTGCTGTTGTGTGACCAAGGTGGTGGTGGCTCCAGCGTGCGTTTGGTGAACAAATCCGGCATTTTCACCCTTGCCGGTAGTAAAACGACGCGTGGCAATCAAAATGGTCCGGCGGCGACGGCACTCTTCAACATGCCCCGAGCTGTGGTGCTTGAGGATGGAGCGCTTTACGTGGCGGACAATGCCAACAACCTCGTTCGAGAAATCTCCAATGGCGTTGTCACTTCGTTTATTACGGAAGGACTGCTGGGCCCATCGTACATCAAACCGTACAGCCGTACAAATGGCGCTCATGACTTGTTTGTGTCGGACACGGGCAAATCACGCATCATTTTTGCCCCACTTCAGAAAAAAACGTTCATCACAGTGTTTATAACAGGATTCCAGCCGGATGTTCTTCAAATTAGCGAGAAGAGTCGTTTGATGTTTGCCATCTGCAATTCCACGAAAATTCTTGCGATTAATATGCAGGGAGCCACAACCCCGAAGGAGTACTGGCAAGTTGGAAATGCGGACTGCATGGGCTATCAGAGTTCCCTCATGCTCACGACCGAGGAGGATAAACTCCTCTACTACGGCATATTAAATGGAACCCCATCCATCATGTCTTTACCCGCCACCAAAACGAAGACGGAAGCACCCAGAATTTGCCCGGATGTGTTGTTGCAGTGGCCACATGGGCCCATTGTTTCGCTTGTGAATATTAACAAACATGCATTTTACGTTGTTACCGCCTCCAATGTATACATTGTACATGATGGCTCGTATCATCCGACTGTAACGCCGACACCTCCTCTGACACCGACGCCTACACCAGAAGTGACACCCACACCTACTGTGACCCCGACGCCTACACCGGAAGTGACACCCACACCTACTGTGACCCCGAGCCCCACCATCACAATCCACCGGGGTTTTGCTGTGGCAGCCTTTCCTGCCCAAAGTCTTCCAATCGAAGACCCGCGGCTTATGCATGAACTGCTTTCTTGGTTAATGAAGGATGTAGGGATTGCGTTCGAATCCACGGACTTTTTTGCCGTATTTCCTCCAGATAGAGAGGTTTTGGTGCCCGGTTATGTAAATGTCTCCACCTGGAATAACTTGACGGTGCTATTCAACTTTGACCGCACCATTGTCATCACGGAATATTTCACTCCAGAGGGCATGTCTTCAGAGGAGGGACAGGCCCGACTCTTCGCTTCGCCGTGGTACTGGACGAGAAATTTCCTTGATTCACTAAAGAAAACAGTAGCTTGGAAGGACCTGGAGGCGTTTTGCATGGTCAACTGTGTTGAGCACTGTGAGACAATGACATTCCATAAGTCAGAATGTGTAGGCTACGTCCGGCCCCCAGTATGCAACGACGTCTGTGTGGGGGCGGTAGTGTCCTCCGTGGTGCTTGGCGCCACAGGTATCGCACTCATTGCACTGATGGTTGGAAGTTCGGCGAACTTACGGAGCGCTGTGATTCTTGTTCCACCCATGTAGATTTTGTCCCCACACTTCGGAGAAAGGTGGGAAATGACTTCAGAAATTGAAATTAGAAGAAACCAACAACACAAGAAGCAAGCGAAGGTGAAAACAACGGGAAGAAGAAGAAGAAGAAGAAGAAAAGAAAAGAAAAAAATGGGGGCTGAGTGGGGAAAAGAGAAAGAAGAGAAGTGTGCGTGTAAGCGTGTGTGTGTGTGCCGGGGAAAAAGAAGAAACACAAAAGATTTCTTTTTTGTTTTTTGTTTTAATGGTGCAAAGAGGGAAACAAGAAAGCGAAGGGTGCATGTGTGTCTGTAGATATATAAAAATAAACATATGCCCCCGCATGTATTTTACCGTTGGCAGTTCCGTGGCTTCTTTTTTTTTTTTGTATTTTTGTTATTTTTTCCTCTTATTTCTTCCTGTGTGTGTGTGTATGTATTATTATTCTTTTTTGTTTTTTGTTTGTTTGTTTGTTTTTACCCACTCATCTGCCTTCATTTTTTTTTTGTGTGTGTGTTTTCACTCAGCCCCTCTCTCTTTCTCTCTTCTTCTTCTCTCTTCATGCGTGTATTTCCGCATGGAGTGGAAAAGGAACGGCTGGGAGCGATTGTGATGGTGCTTGTGTTGGGAGGTGGTGGCTATGCGAGTAGTGGAGATGCATGCATGCATGTATGTATATTATGTGGTTTGGTGTATATATTTATATATTTAAATATTTATATGTTTGTTTGTTTGTTTGTTTGTTTCCCCTGACTCTCGGGGGACGTACACCGACCTACTTACTTACAGAGAGAGAGAGAGGAAGAGAATGAGAGAAAAGGGGGGCGTGTGGTGTGTTCTGTATTCATTGAAGAGCGCAAAAATAAATAAAAATAAAATAATAAAATGAGGGAGAGAGAAGGGAGGAGGAAACAGCAAGAGGAATTTGTATGCCATCGTTTGTGGACTAATTTTTTCATAAGGACTCTGTGATGGCCCTGTTAACCACGTCCACTGCAGTAGACGAGTCAAAATTGACTGCGAGTGTTACGCCAACTGTACGTCTGTCTCCCTCGTGCTGTACGTGTGCAAGTAAGTACGTGTGTGCACTGTGCGTGTGCGTGTGTGTGTGTGTCAAGGGCGCCTTTTACGTGTCTGTGCGCTTGAGTGGGGAGGGGAAGAAGAGGAGGAGAGACGAAGAAAGAAAGAAAGAAAAAAGCGGGCGTGAGATATACGGCAAACATATATATATATATATGCGCTTGTACATTTGTATGTGTTCATTAGAACGGAGGAGAGAATGAAGTTTTCGTGCGGCAAAGCGGGCGGGCATGTGCGCTCCTGTACAGTAGTCACCGTCATTTGATTTTTTTTTTTTTTTTTTGGCTGCCACATGTCTGCAGGCGACGGATTTGCCCACGCCGGAGTGGAATGCGATGTACGCATTGAACGGGTGTGCCGATGTGATGTCTCTCCTGCCCTGTTGTCATTGTTTTGTTTGTTTTTGTTTTTGTTTGTTTGTTTCTCCGTAGTCCGCACCGCTGCGGTTGTCTGTTTTTGTTTGTTTTCTTCCATTTTATTTAGCGTGCCGTTTGCTCCCTTTCTTCCCGTCTTGTTGTTTTTGTTGTTGCCAGGGGTCACGCGTGAGCGAAGCGGGTCGAGGAGGAGGAGGAAGAGGAAGAAGAAGAGTACACGAAGAAGCCTCCCAGGGAGGAAAGGGGGAGGTGGAATGTACACTCGAAATTGAATATTGCGCAGATCACATCAATTCTCCTGCTTTCACTTTTCTTTTTTTTTTTTTTTTCTTTTCTCTCCCAATTCCTTCTGTGTGTGTATGCGTGGCGGTGGGGGAGGGAAGGAAGTAGGAAGGAGGCAGCACGCCGTTAGTTTTACTTCAGTAAAGATTCAAGACAGAAGGATTTTAAATATTTTATTTGTATTTATATTTGTAGATATTTTGTTTTTTTTTATTTTTATTTATATTCAGCAATAAGAAGGAAGGAAGGAAGGAAGGGAAGAGGCAAAGACAGGGGGGGAGGTGCGGCAGGAGTAAAGGAATTCTTCACGTGTGGAACACATACATAAGAAGATATATATATATATATATTGACAGTTTTGTGTGTGTGTGTGTGTGTCTGGCCATTGAAAATGTCTCGGTTTCAGAGGTTATTATTTGCCCTGTTTGCTGGGTTTCTTTTTTCCTTCACGGCAAGCGTGGTTGTAGCCATGCCGTTAAGGTACATGGTAGAAACCGTTTCTGGAATCACGGGCTCCATTGGACATGTTAACGGTGGGCCCGGTACATCGCTGCTAACGAGACCGTCGGCAATTTGTCAAGGCCGCAATGAGGATGAATTACTTTTTGGTACACAAGGGTACTTCCGTAACTTCTCGCGCAGCACGAAGATGACAGGCATACTCCTTGGGGACGGCACAGTGCAGATTTTGGATGGGACATGGAGCCAAGCGCGGATTGACGGTCCAAGGGGTTGTGTGCGGGGGATATTCAACCAAAAAATGATTGTTTACTTTGTAGAGGGTCAAAGTAGTCTTCGTTACTTTACCAGCAATTATGTACACACCGTGACGATATCCATCAATCTGTCCTTTACCGATGTGAAGCTCTATGAAGGTAAGCTTTATATAACGGAGCAAACTAAGGACGAGGTCTGGGGATGCGATATTGATGCGGATGGAGCCCCAGTGTCATGTGCCTTGAAGACTGGCTTTAAATGCGATTACGGGAAGTATCATGGCATCACCGTCACTAAGCTGGGTGTCTTTGTTGTGGGTGAATCCGCTGCAGGCATCTGCCATTTTGACATGCATGGAAATAAAATTTCTGTTCTTGGAGGAAATTACATTGATGTTTTTAGTCTGCCCTCCGATGAGTTGTACATCATGTCATACACCGAGCTCCTTCACCTCCGTGTCATTGGCTCTGCAATGGTGGTGGAAAAATTTGCGGGTCGTTCGGATGCCACATGTCCGCCGCTTATTGACGGCTACGACTTTACATTATGCAAGAATTTACGTCTCTTTGTGATTGAACAGAGTGAAATGTACCTTGCGACTACCCTAAACACAGTGCGCTCTGTGACCCTTCCGCCGGCAATTGTGTGGATAGAGCTTCCGCCCCCGCCTCTGCCGATTGGATACCCCAATGATAATGAAGTCATGAAGAAGATTATCCAACTCATGAATGAGGAACTCAATAAGCATTTGGGGACAAATGGCACATATGTGTCTCAGGAAACCATGCATGTGGACGCCAACACGTGGGCCACAAAATTTGCCGTGATGGTGCAACAGCAGGATTTTGAAAACGCCACGACCCCTGGTGAGGTCTTGACTACCCATTTTGCACGGACCAAGCAATTTGTGAAGGATTACTACGACAGGGTGAATGAGGTGTTGTACATGGACACCAGCATCATGCCCTTTTGCAATGATACCATGCTGAATGCAGTGATGCATAGGTTGGTTACTGTTGTGCGAGAAGTCCTCAGTTTTCCGCTTATTTACGCCAACCCGCCAGAGGTTCGGAAGGAATTTGATTTTGAAAACATCACCACAATGAAACTTCTCATGCCAGCGTCATTTAACAACGATACCACGCGTGAAGCTTTAATGGATGCAGATATGGACGCGGCTCTTCTGCAGATCCTCCGGGAACTGTACGGCCCTGAACATGTGGTGACCCTTGTGTTTCCCATGCCACAATATGACTTTTCAAAACTGACGGATGAACAACTCGTTGAGGTACGGTGGTTTATTCTCGACTTGGTTCGTGCACGGCTTGAGGAGTGTGCGGTTCTCTCGGTGGATGGTGTCGGTGCAAGTGTGAGCAGTCATAGTAGTGTTTGTGAGGCTGTCATCACCAACCGTACCGAGACGGTCGTCTCGCATCCACCATTTAACATACAGAGCGAGTACGAGGTGTTTGTGCCGTCGCGGTACAAATTTAATGCGTCATTGTGCCTTGATGGCATTGACTGGACTGTGTTGGAGGAACTTATCAAAAACTACACGGAAGAAAACAAGCCTCGCCATAAATCTGCATGCGACCGTAGTTGTATTATTGGCCTGGCGGTCCTGGCGGCGTTGGTACTCACAGCCCTCATTGCAGTGATGGTGGTTCTCACGTCGAAACGGAGACGGCTGGCGGCAGTTGTGGCACCCGTGCACCCAAAGTTTAAAAGTACCCTCGACGAGGATGAGGAGGAAATGGAGACAACCAACCCGCTAGAAGTAAAAGACGAGCAACGTGCACG